TCAGCGAATTATTTCTCGTCCCTTGCAGCCGTTCGCTGGGCTGCACCAACCGACGACCAGCTAAGCGGCAACCGAGCCAACAACTGAGGAGCCATCGGCCAGATGAGGCGATGCAGCAGCAGCGGCGAGCCCGGGCGAAGATAGTAGGAAAGATGCGCGAGGCCAGCAGGCCGACTAGAACCAATAAAGCTAATTAGACGAGTTTTATAGCACGTACGATGCGTCGGGATAAATAAAACGCGCATCAAGAATCATAGGGTGCGTTCAGCCGATACTCCGCTAGCCTAGCGCACGTAAGCAGCGAGCGCTTTGCTACCATTTGCTACGGGAAAATTTGGCTGGACAGAAGCGCTAGTAGTTAGCGGTTGTTAGCGGTCGCCATCTTTTTGTAAGTCGAACATAACCGTGAATTATCTCGTTGTGCGACGACGACGACGATCTTGTACTCACAAACAATACGCGTAACGAGCTCGAGAGCGACGACAAGAGCCTGCAGGAATAGAGAGCGAGCTGGCGCTGAGGATCTGCTCGAGCAGCACCGACGACGAAGCCGTCGAGGAAACCGAGAACGTCGTCACCCAACCGAAGACGATCAAGAGGATCGTCCTGAACCGCTGGCAGGATCCCGTCGACGTTAACGCGCAATTCACAGCGGCCGAGAGCGAACATTATAGCGATCTCCTAGACGTACCGAGCTCCCAATCATTCCATAATAAATAAATAAAAGAAAATGGACTAGTAAGTATAATTACGTCTGTTAATTTGTGAGTTATGTCTATAATATTCGCCGCCAATACACACACACACATACGTATATTATGTACTTCTATTTATCTCCAGCATACCTGTTGAATACGTACCACCGGATGAACAACAATTGACTGAGTTGGAGACACTAACTAATGTGACACAAGATGGAACCATGTTAAAAATAACATATAATTATCAGGGCGAGTTATATGAAGTGACGGACAGTAGTGAAACTCACTCTAAACTCCAGGCAGGTTAGTTGAATTTACTTACACAATATATTGAACATAGAAATTATAGGTTTCTCGTAGTACTACAAGTGCAAGCAAGTAATATATAAATTGTCATGAAATGAACCATTTTATTGCAGATGTAAACTTCTTCGCCGAATTTTTCCAAAATATTACTGAAAAGAACGCTGTACAAGATAACGTGGGTGAATCTGACTGTAGCCAAATCAACCCGGATTACACAATGGTAGCACCCGGATCACACAACCCGGATAACGCTGTACAAGTTAACGTGGGTGAATCTGACTGTAGCCAAATCAACCCGGATCACACAATGGAAGCACAAGAGGACCTCAACGAAATACCTAACAATGATGAAAACGGTACATTATGAATTTCCTAAATTAATGTGTTAGAGATTAAGTTAAGTTTAAAAAAAAAACAATACGCACATTTGTTTCATACGATAATCAATTTTTTATATATTCTTTATTCTTTATTTCAGATTCTAAATTTCAATGGGATCATAAATCCATTTTATTCCTTCTATCCAAATATTCCGAACGGTTGGCGAAATTTAGAAGTCCAACAATAAAAAAAATTACCCTTTGGAGAGAAATAAAAAAAGAATTTGATGACATAGGGATTTCGCAGGTTACTGCACAAATGATTGACCATAAATTTCGCAATTTGAAAACCAGATATAAACATATAAAAGATAATAACAAAAAAACCGGACGAGGGCGACAGTCATGGGAGTATTACCAGCAGATGGAGGATATTTTGGAAAATGATAAATCTGTTAATTTTGACACCGGTATTGCGTCAATGGATGATGAACCAATCAACTTATCGCAGAGCAGGATTTCATCAGCAAACAGGTTATCACCGACATTAATATCAATTATTCAAAATTGTTATGATAATTGTGATTTCGCGCATTTTTTGTCACATATTCCGTCTTTTTCCTCGTCTTCTGACGCGTTTTCGGACAGTGATGCAGAAGTTATTGCTGATACGCCGCCCTTCACTTCACGTGATGCAGAAGTTAGTACTGATACGCTCTCCAATTCACGCCATCCGGATGATGGCGATCGTAATTGTAGTCCGAATGGAGAGTCAACATCACCAGAGACTGCACAATCTCCAACATTGTCTACCCCGTCGAAAGAATATAAAATTAGGAAATCCACCCATGCAAAACAATTATACTCACAAAAAACGAAGCATTGCAACAAGAGAAAAGCAAAATAGATGTACTTCGAAGCATTGAAAATACAATTGCTATAGCATTTACACAGAAAAATGAAATATTGCAACGCGAGTTGCAACGTAAAAATCAAATATTGGAAAGGCGAAATCAACTTTTGGAAAATTTAATTGAAAAAATTACTCCACGCAATACAGGTCTTCCTAATTAAAAAAAATTGAGTCTTTATA